CTCACTACAAGTCAGCCTATTATTGATTCTAAACCTTTATATGTGGCTGAAGCTCTTTCTAATCCTGCTTGGAATGCAGCCATGCAAGTGGAGTTTGAAGCTCTTGTTTGAAATAACACTTGGACTCTTATTCCATCAGCTCTTGATATGAATATTGTTGGAAACAAATGCGTTGTTAGAACCAAATTTAATGCTGATGTTTCCCTATAGAAGTACAAAGCCAGGTTAGTGGCAAAAGGCTTTCAACAAACTCTTAGACTTGATTACTTTGAAACATTTAGTCCAGTTATCAAGCCATCCACCATTAGAATCATCCTTACTTTAGTAGTGTCCAACTCTTAGGATATCCAACAAATTGATATGAATAACGCATTCCTCAATGGTGTGCTTAATGAGACCAATGAGACAACCTATTGGCTTTGAAGCTTCGGATCAACCTTCCTTTGTTTGCAAATTAAACAAAGCACTATATGGCTTAAAACAAGCTCCTAGAGCTTGGTTTGACAAGCTCAAAACTGCCCTTCAGCTTAAGGGTTTCCAGTATTCTATTTTGGACCCTAGTCTCTTTATTTTTAAACAATCTTCTGGTATTACTTATGTGCTTACTTATGTAGACGATATTCTTATTACAGGCTCCGATCCTTCTTACATCTCTTACCTAATGAAGGATCTTAATGAAAAATTTGCACTCAAAACCTTGGGTTCTTTGAAGTATTTCTTGGGTCTTGAAGCTACTAGATCGTCTGCTAGTCTTCATCTCAAGCAAACCAAATATGCCATTGATTTACTTGTTAAAACTCAAATGTTAGAAGCTCATGCATGTGCCACTCCCATGGCTATTGGTACCGGGTTATGTACTGAAGACAGTCAACCTTTTGAGCATCCTACATTGTATAGAAGCACAATAGGTGCTCTCCAATATTTGACACTCACAAGACCTAATATAAGCTTTGTCGTAAACAAGCTTAGTCAATTTTTACAAGCTCCTATAGCCCTCCAATGGCAAGCCTGCAAAAGAGTCGTAAGATATATCAAAGGAACCCTTGATTTTGGGCTGCAATTCAAGCCAGCAAGCTCTCTCCATGTTGAGTGTTATGTTGATGCGGATTGGGGCAGAGCGAATATTATTTTTACCTGGGTCCAAACTTAATCTAGTGGAGCTCACGAAAGTAAAAATAAGTTGTAGTATCTTCTACAGAAGTTGAAAGTTCTTGCCCAAACTACCACAGAAGTAGCCTGGTTGCAGAATATGTTTTTTGAATTAGGCATTACATTTCATACAACTCCCATTATTTTGTGTGACAATGTGAGTGCAAGGGCCCTAGCATCTAATTTAGTCTTTCATGCAAGAACAAAACATATTGAAATTGACACTCATTACATTAGGGAACAAGTTTTAGCCAAAAAAAATTGATTTTGCAATATGTTTCTTCTAAGCTACAGATTGCAGACCTACTAACCAAGCCACTTTCCCCTGCTCAATTTGTTGAATTGTGACAAAAACTGACAGTGCGTGCTTCTAATGTTTCATAGTCTTAATTCATTTTGTGTGTTGACTGTGAAGGATAATAGATATTTGTTCCTAAAGCTTTGTTTTTTTTAAGGTTACTGCACCAGTAACTTTGACATGAGTGTGGTTGGAAAATATGCATGGTTGATTATTGTTTTGCTCCTTTTCAAGCTATAGAAAAGACTACTACTATGTTTCTTAAATTGGTACAGTGGCCTTGGTATGAGTGTGGTTGGAAATTTGCATGGTTGATTGTTTAGTTACTTCCCTTTCTTTTTTTTTTTGGCTAAAGAAAAGATTACTGCTATGTTTCTGAAACTAGTACAAGTGGCTTTGGTATGAGTATGGTTCGAATTGGGTATGGTTACTTGTTGTCTTACTTCCTTTCAAGACAACTGCTCTAGTTCTTCAATTGATATAATGGAATATGTGGAGTTTATTCTCTTGGTATTTCCTTAGTTTGTCTTCTCAAGCTGCTGCAGTTGCTCTAAGTATTGCTATTGCTTCACGAATTGCTGGTACAATTTAGACTTATACAAGCCATCTGCATAAGACATCTGCAAGTATTACATGCAGCCTGCAATACCCTTCCTCCCTCTAAATATTAGGATCAGTTTTTGGTTTGAGGGGAGATGTTAACCAAAAAGGGTAAAAGTGGCTAAGTGTTAGAACCAGTTTAGTTTGAGGGGAGATGTTGACTAGAGAGGTTGAAATTGTAAAGTTGCTAAGTGTTTAGACTTTACCAACATTAGCCAAAAGTGACGTTGTTTTATGTTTAAGATTCTTTAAGAGAACAGTTCTTCGTTCTCAACTAAAAACAATATATATAAAGATAAAGTCTCTCTTTTACTGTAATGATAATTCAATAAAAAGTGTACTTTCTTCTCTTCAAGTTTCGTCCTCTGTTTTTCTCCCAGATTAGGTCCATTCTTGTCACAAATTCTCATAAAGAAGACAAAAAAACAAAAGAAAATAAAAAGAGAGCTCCCCCCATACTGCGAAGCTTCATTAATTGATGGGGTAGCTATATGTCTCCTAGAGATATGTTATTTCGTGCATATAGCCATATCCAATATGTAAAATTGGCAGAGGATCAGGCTTATCTAATTAAAGATATATAGTTTGCGCTTACCTCAACTAATCCTCTAGGACTGTGGAACTACCGGTCGAGTAAGAGCTCGAGTGGCCACCCTTGTAAGGGTTCGAACTCGGGAGACCATGTTAGATCATGTTACTTAGGAAATCGTGTTAGATTCTTCTCTTACTCTTTTACCATTAAAGGGACTTGAACTTGGGAGATCATGTTAGATCTCATTTGCTCTTTTACCATTAGCTCAGCGAGTGATGGTTAGCAGCAATGGATCTTGCATTCACTTGGCAGTGTAGGTACCTTCACTGTATATTAACTACATTGTGAAAATGAAAGCAATATATATCTCTAGAAAAAGTACAAGGGATGTAAATTCAAGTAATGTCAATCATGAACAAAATTCGATGGCACTTGAAAGTAATGATATAAGATTTGTTTACATTTAATATTACACATACAAAATCATCTCATAAGGAAATGAATACAGAGTGAGGTATATAATAAAACTATTAAAAACCCCATGAAATCGATTAATTTCAAAGATTCTAACAATTTTTTTCAATTATTATATGGTGACTAAAATTACTAAAAATTAACCTCTTGAGATTATATATATATAAAAATAAAAAGTGTTTAATATTAAATTTTAAATTTTTTGTGAACCGGTTTATTGATTTTTTAATAAACGGTCCAACCGGTTTTATTTCAAATTTGGCTACTATTTAATTAGGTTTTTTTTTTTTTTTTCATTTTGCTTTCATCATTTGTATCTCATCATCTACTTAGTATTGTTGTATTGTGTCTGCTTCGTTTGATTACGACTATGGTGTTTGTGTTGAAGCTTCTTTTACTAAGGAAACATAATCTCTTTAACTAACCTCCTAGTGAATGTGAAAGGACTAACACGAATCTTTATATCTTTTTATTTAGACCTTTGGAATGGCAATGCAATGCCACTATATAATTCTTGTTAATATCTGTCATTAATACTTACGAATATCAACATCAATTAAAATCTTACACATTAATTAAATTTTATTTATAAATGAAATTACCTACAAAAACTAATAACATTATTTACACTTGGTTTACATAAACTCTATTCCATTTGTTTTTTTTAACAAATCATCGTTAAAATGAATTTGGTTTATCCCTAAACAAAGAGAAAGAATTCAATTTGGCTTTAAAGTATGAAAGTGATTGAATAGAGGTCTAATAGAAACAAATATAAGGTTTAGTATGTGAATATCAATCTTAGAAATTAGTTTATTCACCTGTTATATCTTAAAAAAAAAAAAAAATGAATTGAGTAGTATAGAGAGGGAAAGTAAGAATGCGGAGTTAAGTTCTAAACTTAAAATTTTGAGTTTGAGTTGAATAGAAAAAGCAGTTAAAACCTTTTTAATCCACACATTAAAAATCTAGGTAACTTTCAAAAGAAAGTCTCAAAATGATGTTTTGCACATGCACCTTTAAATAAAAAGTTGCAAAGACTCATATCGACCCTAGCAAGCAAAAAGGAGGCCAACATACACATCTAATGTTACAATCTACTACCCTTACAAATTAAATCACATTCCTTTGTTATACACAAAAAGATTTAATTTAGAGTATATTATATAGCAATCCTTAACATTTTTTATGAAATTCAAGGTGATTGCGGTGGTCGTGGGACTTAAACAAAACTTTTTCATTTAGGCCTTCATCTGTTTAATTATAACTAAGTATTTTTATTATTAAGAGAATACTATATATGCATTGAAAAATGATTAAAATTGTAGGAAAAAGAAATATATTTTACTTTGTTATATTCCAAATGTTTTTAGATTTTACAACTAATATATAATTTATATATGGATATTATTAAGTAGGAATATCTTGAGATTTATAGCATTCACAGAGAATGAATATACTAATACTATATATAGTTTTGAATGATATTATGAAGAAAAAAACTTTGGAAGGTAACTCTTTTATTTTCTATAAGAGAGTCTAAAATGTTAAATTTTTATAAAAGTTCTAAAAAAATCACACACCATAATAACCATTCCATCATCCTCATCAAATTTACAATAAATTCCCATTTCATAAACTTGTACAACAGTTTTACACTTTAATTAACAAAAAACAATGGTCATTTCTCATTGATGCTTATTTGATGAAATGTTATATGGATGTTACCACGTTTCTCTATATAAAGGTAACATCATCATTGCTTCATGCTTCCTGCTACATCTCCAATAGCTATCATTTTTTTTTTTTTTAAAAAAAATGATAATGGTCATTACATTAAAATTTCTTAAACTAATTGTTATACCAAAAGTAAGGTAATGTTTTTGGTAGTTGTATACAGTTTATAAATTCAATCCATATTTCCCAAACAAAACGTGAAATCACAGGTTAAAATTATATCCAATAAATTTATTAAAAGGAATATTACTAAAAGAATAAAGTTACAATAACAAAATCGTTTTCTAATTTTCTCTTCAGCCCCCAAATTCCAACTCAAAAAACAGAGAGACATGACCTTTATTCATTTCAAGACCATCTCGTCATTTAGTCCTCTTTCTATCTGTCGTTTTCCTTTTCTTACTCAATTAACCAGATACATGAACTCAAATGCTTCACACTTCCACTCTAAATCCAGCTCGCTTAACACTAAATCTGCTAAAAGATTATAGTAGAACCTGTTTAACTCCACAACTCCTGCATTAGCTTCCAAGACGGGAGTGTTAACAGAGTCATGGTGTATCTGCAAAGGAGTCTCCAAAACTGAGAGAATGAAAGCTGCCATTTTCTTCGGGAAGGGTCCGGCCATGGCCAGAATCTCAGGTACCGGTTTATTTGGCCACCGGAAATGGGATCTCAGGTACCGGTTTATTTATCCACCGGAATCTTCTTTCGACTACTCATGTCAATCTTCCTTCTGTCGCTGTTGCTGAGACTGTCGATTGCCGCTCTAATAATTGCCGACATCACATGCTGGCAACAATTGATGGAATCTCACTTTCCACTTAACCCTCTCCATCTGTTGTACCCTCCACACTTTCCTGCAAAACACAAAATGAAACATTATGAATAATCAGCTCAAAAGAGAAACCTCAATAACGAACTGATTTTCGATATAATAATATTAATAAGAGATTCAATATTGTTCTTTAAGTCACTGGGGTCTTACCAAGAAGTAGAATTTGTTGCATCGGATGGAAATCCATGCTCTTGACGGCTGAACCCTGATTCAGAGTCATAACAACAGCCTTGGGCAAGTCATCAGTAGAGTAAGAACTTTGACCGTGACTCTGGCTAGTGTATGCAACATGGAAGATGTAGGGGATTGGTTAACACACTTCGGTGTTTAAGTACCTATTTTAACGTGGAACAGAATATTACCAAATTGATTAAAAGATTTTCAGTTTTTAACCACAACAAACGTAAGTGTAGAAGTAAAGAACACAGTTATATACATGGTTCGACTAAATCTACATTCAGTCTACATCCATAGGACCTTGTCTAGATCGAAGTAATCCACTAAGTCAAAACACATTATAAGATATAATTTAAAACTGATCTAAGTTACAATAAAAAGAATTCCCTGTTCAACTTTACAATTAGCACCACACTCTAAATCTTTTACGTGTAGCAACTCCTTGGAGTTTCTTCTCACCGGGAACACACCCGAGAACAGCTTGTAAATCACCAAGCTTCAAGCACCGACGCCACGCACCAGCATTAGCAAAGGAACCACGTTCCAAAAGTCATCAAGTCTATGTTTGATATGGTAAGGTTTTGGCACCAAAAAGGAAAAAAAAAAAAATCCTTCAGCTTTAAGAGAGAATACTCTAAGAAATTCATAGTACAATGAAACAAATTGTCAAAATGTTATATTCATTTACGCAAGAAAGAGTATTATATAATTAAGGATTTCTTGCTCAACAATATAGTGCCACATCAGTCAACAAGGGGTTGACCCATGTTTGTTCAAATAAGGAAACTATTCATTCTTTTGGTTTGGACCATAAAATAAATCAGAAAAGATAACTTTATTCCCTATGACCGCTTAAGGATATTATGACACATGTAAAATGTCCTAAATATCAAGAAACAAAGATAAATAATATCTTTTTCACTTTATCAGACATGTAACTCATGTTGGGTTGCAATATATCTTAAGCGAGAGTATAAGCACGGACAGTTGTGTACACACACTTGAAATGAAACAAGTCAAAACACAAGTTTGGCAAACAATGTGCACTAAGAACTGATGTGCACACACACAACAGATAAAACAAGCCAAATAAAAGAATTGACAACCAGTTTGCACACATAACTGTTATGTATGCACATAACTCGTAAGTTTGACAAAAATAAATATTCTACGTAAAATATTTACTGACAGATTATTTACCTGTGAAATATATCATGTAAACAGTGCACCCCATGTGTTGTGCGGGTATGTTTATAGAATTTTATTTAATTATTGTTGTTTTTGGTGTGATAAAATATAATTAATAAATAAGTTTGTCCGATAATTTATTGTTTTTTATGAATTGTTGTTGAATTTAATGTGATAGTTTTTATGTAAATAAGGATAAGTTGGGCGAGTATATTTTCTTTGTTATATTTCAAATACTTTTAGATTTTACAACTAATATATAATATATCTGATTATTATTAAGTAGAAATGTCTTGAGATTTATAACATTCACATTAAAGACTGCTTATATTAATACTATGTATGGTTTTGAATGATATTATGAAAAAAAAAACCCTTCAAATATAACTCCTTTATTTTCTGTAAGAGAGACCAAATTGTTAATTTTTTATAAAAGGAAAAGTTTTTAAAATATTAATTAGAAAATTACATTAAATTATACTATTTATCATAAAATGAAGTGTGTAAATATATATTTTTTACCTAAAAATATTTGAAATATAACAAAGTAAAACATACTTGCGCAACGTAAAACATATTTGAAATGTAACAAAGTAAAACATATTCTCAGATTGGCTTTTCGAAATCCCCAAAAACTAAATGAAAGGAGCATTAGAAAGTTCAAAACACTTGATGAACAACGGCAATACATAATTATTATGATGACCACGCATACCAACTTTCTTTAGCTCTTCAAATGCATTTATGGTCTCTGTGTCAAACCCACATGCAAACTGAACGTTCTGATTGTTGGTAAAAGAGATGGTGAAAACGAAAGGATTTAACAATGTAGGGAGTTTGTGTTTGAGTGAGTTTACCTGTTGTATTTTATAGGCAAATCTAACTCCTTGGAGCATCAGACTTTGTTCTTGCGAACATTCGTTAATGGACTTCAACTCCTCGCTTATTCTTTTCATGTATTCCTTCGCAAGCCTCAGTGAACTTAGTTTCATCTGCTTAAAGTCAACATTTCTTACTAGTTTGAGTAGCTATAAAAAGTTTCACATTATTGGTAAGACATTTATATCAGTTGAAATTTTGATGAATTAGTTTATAGTAAATTTAATTTGTAAGCTATGTGTTACCTACCTGGCCAATGAGTCCTCTATCAAACATCCATTCCCATGGGATCTGAAAATCCCTGTATCTTTTACTGCTGCTTTCTCTCATTCTTTCTGTGTTGTTAACACTTTGCTCCAACATGCAAGTTCCATATTTATTCATGCAATAATATTAATTTATACTATCAAATTTCATCACTAAGTTACAGTAATTCCGCTTATACATGGTCCCCTGTCTTGTAATGCTTGCATCCTTCTTGTTGCCTGAGCCAACGACTCTTTGTGGTTGTCCTCAAATGATGAAACCTCAGTTTCAAGGTTCTTCAAGTCTCTGTAACTGAAAACAGCTTCTCTTAAAAAGCATCTGCTTTTCGTTCTGGCCATTGTGGGAAGTGCTTCAACACCGTCCTTTCATCAACCAAGGACGATAGTTCCCCATCTAGCCATTAAACAAATGTCTCCACATGTGATATCTCTGAAAAGCTTGCTGATTCCACCTCTTTGATCAAGAAATGTATGAACTCTTTTTGTTTTTTGACATCATATTTTATTTGTGTATTAATGTGCATATTGTCAAAGAAGGTAATCATATTTGCAAAACAAAAGAGAAAAACTCAATGAAACGATAAGATACTGTTACACTTACAGCTAAAAGATAGCTTGAGCAGTTCTCAATCTCTCCAATCATGTTCTTGCTACTGGTGTACCACCACTTGAGTCATTCCACTGCTCCACTAAGCTTCATTTGCTATTTTTGAAAGAGAACATGAGCTGCATAATCCAGAAATCAAGTCACAATCCACTCTTGGCATAAATAATAAATCAACAATCACAAAATCCAGGAAATTCATCAATTTAGTATCCCGTTTGAGGTAATGAAAATCATGCTCAGATTAAGAAAAATAGCAAATACAAAATCAATTTAGTATCCTGTTTGCATCTCACCTCCATGCTAAAAAGATCTCTGAAAAATCAAGGAAGAATTCAACTACACTTTCAATATATATTTTACATAGCCAGAACAATAATCCATCACTGTAATCCAAAACATTCTTTTTATGTAAAACATGCTAAATTACAGCCAACATTAAGTCAAGTGGAAATTAAAAAACTGCACGACATGGCATCTCTAATGTAACTCAATTGTGTCTGTGTCTTAAACTGCGAATTGCAACGCTTAAATGTACCTTAACTGAGATCATCAGCACCATAATAGCAGCTTGCAGTAAGATATCATTCCTCCGTTGGCATACCTACAAACACACAATAATGCACATAAGAAATGACGGCTTCGGAATATTAAAACTCTGGAACAGAATTATGTAAGACTCTTAATCAAGATTGCTTTATGTTTCTCCTAAAAAAGATTTGTTGAATATAGAAACATCTAGTTCTACTACCATACTACAGCCAATCAAACAATAGCCTACAAACTTTGTTCAGCAGAAATTAAAAAAAAATGAGTAAGGAAAATGCTAAAGACGAAGAAGATGAAGAAAAAAATTGCATAATGCACTTCTACATTTTGGATATCAAGATATCTTTCCACATCATAATTTAAATACAATATATAGCGCTAAGACACAGACGCTAATACTGTTAACACTCACCCTACAGCAAAGATATCCATAGATGGCTTTAAAGGAGCATCTTGTGCGACTTGCATCTCACCTCCATGCTCATAAAATCTCTGAAAAATCAAGGAAGAATTCAACTCCACTGTCAATATATATTATACATAGCCAGAAGAATAATCCATCATTGTAATCCAAAACATTCTTTTTATGTAAAACATGCTAAAAGACAGCCAGCATTAGGTCAAGTGGAAATTCAAAAATTGCACGACATGGCATCTAATGTAACTCAACTGTGTCTCAGTCTTAAACTGCGAATTGCAGCACTTAAATGTACCTTAACTGAGATCATCAGCACCATGATAGCAGCTTGCAGTAAGATATCATTCCTCCATTGGCATACCTATAGACACACAATAATGCACATAAGAAATGACGACTTCTGAATATTACTGACTCTGGAACAGAAATCTGTAAGACTCTTAATCAAGATTGCTTTATGTTTCTCCTAAAAAAGATTTGTGGAATATAGAAACATCTAGTTCCAGTACCACACTACAGACAATTAAACAATAGCCTACAAACTTTGTTCAGCAGAAATTAAAAAAAAATGAATAAGGAAAATGCTAAAGACGAAGAAGATGAAGAAAAAAAATGCATAATGCACTTCTACATTTTGGATATCAAGATATCTTTCCACATCATAATTTAAATACAATATATAGCACTAAGACAGAGACGCTAATACTGTCAGCACTCCAACAGATTCTAACATAAGCAATTTCGTGTGCAACAGTGGCCTAAGGAGGCCCCATAAAAACTAAATATTATTCACTAATTTAGAGTCTTCGCAAACATTTCTATCAATCTCCATCTACCACATAATTTAAATACAATATATAGCACTAAGACAGAGACGCTAATACTGTTAACACACCAAAGAATTCTAACATAAGCAATTTCGTGTGCAACTGTGACCTAAAGAGGCCCCATAAAAACTAAAAATTATTCACTAATTTAGAGTCTTCGCAAACATTTCTATCAATCTCCATCTACCATTGGCCTTATGCACCGCCTTTAAAGGAAGTGGTCTGAGGTGTGTAGTTAAACATGGGCCTAGGTTAGGTATGAAATAAACATTAAGATTAAATAAAATAATAATAATAATAATAATAATTAAGAGCAATAAAACAAAGACTCACTCACCTGATCTAAATAAAAATCCGAGTAGTGGCAGAGGGCTTGCCTCACTTTGCGTTCTCTGGAGGTCAATTGATAGATTAGATCGTAACCCTGAAACCCAGAATATACAAAGGCTATCACATTCACTGCCATACAGTACATGTTAATTTAATTTTAACATAGTATTAGATAACAACATAAAACGAAACCCAATTGACACAAATAGAAATAAATCAACTAAAAAAGCTGAAAAAGAAATTGAAATATTTAAATCTTTGTAAGAAGCAACAAAGAAACCTGATCTAGCAAATACTAACTCAAAATATGGTCTCACCAGACATAGTTTTATGGCATTCCAAATATTCAAAGGTCAACACTCTGGTCAATACATGTATGCCATTGATAGAAATCTATACTACCACAAAAGGCCAAATTCATGACATTCAAGCAAAGTGGCTGAAACATTTTTATCATTCATCTTCCAGAATATCATAAACATTACGTTTAGTATAATCAAACAAAAATGTATCCCTTATTGTTTCTCTATCATTACACAGAGGTTACTCAAGAAAAAGTGTTGCAGGTTTTATAAATATACTAAGTTGCAGAACAGTAGAAACTGCTAGTTTGAATGAACATAAGACAATAGCATAACAGCAACACATCAATCTGAGCAAAAACCTACAGCAACAACAAAGTTCACAATATGAACATAGTAGTTACGTCTCCCTTCTTAATGTCAAAATGAACTTTATCTATACATTTCCAAGCTCGAAATAATCTTCTCATTTCCAAAAGCAGTAAAACAATGAATTATCAAATTTGGCCTTTCAATATTATTCACCTTCATCCACAAAAACTCAGATCACTATGATCATTTAGAACCAGATTTATTGCTTAAAAAGCCCGTTGAAATTGTGCAAGGTAAAAACATTTCTGACAAAAAAGCTAATACTAAAGTAATACAATATTTTTTCTCGCCTTAACCCACTCCTGCAGTCATTGTTTGTAAAATTCAGAGCATAATAAACAACTAAGAATTAAGGATATTCTCACTTATCAGATTATATAATTTTCTTTACAATAATCAATACAAGAAAGAATCCACATAACCCTAATTCTTTCAAATGAACTCAAAATACCTGATAACTAAAATTAGCATAATCAAAAGAACAATAAAATATACGGAATACAGCAGAGCACTGAATTCCGTACAAATTTGAGGCAATAAATTAGACAATTACAAGCAAAACACAATAAAATAATACAGGTATGTTTCGCAAGTTCATACACGATAATAATCACAATGTTTCTGGTAAAAAATAGATTATTACCTTGTAAACGCACTCACCAGCACCATGCAACAACGACAATTAACATATCAACATAGGATTGCACTAAAATATAATTGGGACAAAAAATAAAAAATAAAAGCTAAAGCTAATTTCTCCCAGGAATTCTATCTGGATATTTCTCTCTAATTCTTTCAGCCTCGGCATGTCTTTTTTCTGCAGACACAATCCGTATTAGTTACACAAGCGATCAAAAATAATTAACCAATCCATTAGAAGATTCTTGTCACAGAAAATAATCATCAACGACTTACGAAAATCATGCTCTATCTTGAAGGAACTTTTAGTCATCTTTGCCAATTGAACTGCAGAACAACCATGAAACTATCTTAATAAAAAGTAACAAAGTTTCAATCAACAACAAAACCGAGCAAAAATGTGTCAAATCAGATCAAGTTAAACAATAACGAAACCCTAATATCAAAATTCGAAAGGGAATAACAAAAAGAATCCAGAGCAATTACCAAACGCGCTGTTTGTCGCTAATAAACTTAAATAATTGATAATTCAATTTCTAGAAACTGAAAGACCAAATCCGATTCTCGAATCAGTTGCGGAATTATCTTCGTTCTGCAACCAAGCAGACTAAGAAATAGAAAATTTAAGAAGATGAAATTAAAGAGACGATGGATTAAATTGAAAAGCAATGATATATAGCTTTGGAGAAAATTTAGCTGACCGCCCATCCCAAGTTTGGATTTAAAAAAATGCTCATGAAACTGTTTACCATTTTTTATTTTTATTTAGAGAAGCTGACGTGGCATAGTTAGGGTCCATTAAATATGTAAAATAGGTTAAAATAAAAAGATTAAAACATATAAAGATAAAATCATAATTAATGAAAGTTTTTAAAATTTAAAATTTACAAAAGAGCCCCAAATATTCAAATCGCTTAATCAAAACCAATTAAGACAAAAATCGATATCTTCAATCCCTAAACGCATCTATGCAATTTCTGATGATAACAGTCCACATTCCAGCGAATTTTCACACCCAAATTCAATCCTAAAGCTTCTTCCTTTCTTAAAACTATGGCTTGACATTAACAATGGGGAGGAAACCGAATGCCTCTTCGAATCGTAGAGTCCGGCGGCCCAAGCAGTTCAATGGCTACTCCGGTGGATCCTCCGATCAGTGAAGGTGTTTCAGTAGCAGAGAGAGACGACGACGGCACAACAAGAGAGAGAACAGGAGCAAAAACGGTTCTGAAGAGGAGAGGAGGCGGGCAGAATTCAGGCCAGGAAGAGGAGTCCGGCGAGAGAGTTCAGAGAAGAGGAGGAGGCCGCCGAAGAAAGGTATTGTACTTGCCGAAACCTAAGATCGCTTAAGCGATCTTTATATCGCTAAGCAATTGATGGCTCTTACTCTTGATTGGATTGCTAAGAGTAAAAGCGATGAATCGCTTAAGCAATATAAAAGATCTCTTAGCGATCTTAGATCTGGCGAATGTTGATTCTGCCTCGTACAAGATCTCTTAAGCGATCTGTAATAGCTTAAGCGATCTCTTCCGAGGCAGAACCAAATTGCCCAGATCTATAATCTCTTAAGCGATCATTTGTATCGCTTAAGCGATTTCAGATCGCTTAGAGATTTATATGAGGCAGAATCATCTGCCCATCGCTTAAACGATTCTTCCGGAGCGTATTTGTTATAGTTGATTTGATTAATTTTTGCTGATATTTTGTTTATATGATTGTGCAGATTTTCCGGAGCGTAAATATAGAGAGTACGGATTGGAGGTTGTAAGCGATACTGGTATACTTCCCTGTGAGGGTGATAGTGAGGTCAAGTTGGGATGTTTTAACAAGAATAACGGGATTTAGGGACAGTGAGGAAGTGGTGAAAGGAGATTCAAAGAGACTTGTTTCAGTCATTTTTGGGATATGGACACAAAATGGAAAAAGACATTTGGGGGTCGGGTGAGTGCATATATGTTGCTGCAATCATAAAAAAAACAACAAAAAGCACGAAATGTGGTTCATGGTGGATGGAAAGCCAGTACATTTCGGGATGATGGAATATGCGTGGTGACTAGCTTAAGATGTGGGGAATTGCCAGGTGAGGTTGAGGAAAAAAGAATAACGGACAGTACGGGAACCAAAAGGTTGGCTAACAAGGTTTTGGCGGGGGGAAGAAGTCTATTAAGGCACAGGAATTAGGGACAGGTTAAAAGATGGTGAGTTTAACGATTTAGAGACGTTCAAACTATGTTGGTATTGTTCTTACATCGATCCTAATGGCTAGTGACTCAACAAAAGCCATTGATATGATTGGGTGAAGTTTGTAAGCAACTTGAACTTCTTTAATGCTTATCCGTGGGGACTGGTATCATTAAGCGAACCATAGAGTCTGCAAGCAAAAGACCTGGCGTTTAAAGCACTCCCAATGGGCCAGAAGAATAGACCGGCGAGTACAATTTGTTTGGCTTCCCATGGGCAATGCAGGTAAATTTAATAGCTTTTTGTTATATTTTTTTAATATATGTGTTTAAATTATGATATGGACTGTTTTTTTTAAATGTAGGCTGGATGCTGAGGCCATCCCGTCCTGGCTAAGGATGGGGGAGGATTAGGGCTTCGGTTGTGCAACAGACATTCCTAGGATGTTGTGGTGGCACGACCAGAAGTGTTACCCATTCGGATATGAGCAAATAGAGATTGAAATTCAATCAGCTCGGGTAAGATTAAAGGATTAAGCTTGAACATGCACTGCTTTAAAATTCGATAAATTGATGATTTTGTTCTTATTGCAGAGGGTTGTCCGTCCTTCCTCACGCTACTAGGGGGTGAAGCGCAACAGCACTATGTCACAATCTTTCGAGCACTGGAGGATCAAAGGGAGAAGGGATAGACCGCTTGACGCGGGACCTCAAGGGGTCACACATGTGAGGGCAGTTGCAGGGCACTGCTTGAGAATGGGTGGTGACGTCGAGGAGGATGAAGGCGCCAATCGGGGGGAGGAAGGAAGATGTTCGTATGCCTCAGCAAACCGGTACCGCTTGCTGAGGCATCGGGGTCGGGGGCGGGAGAGTGAGGTGGTTGAGTCATAAAGAGTTTGTTTGATAAGATGGAAGAGCAGTTGAAAATGGTGGAGGAGAAAGTGGATAAGGTGGCAAGAGAAAGTTGTTAGGGTGGGGAGGAAGTGGTAGGGTGCAGAAGAAAGTGGATAAGGTGGCAAGAAAGTTGTTAGGGTGAGAAGGAGGAAGATGGTATGGTGCAGGAGGAAGTTGGTGGAGTTATGAAGGCAGTTAAAGTGCAAACTGGGCTAAAAGAGAGAGCCGAAAGAGCAGGTTTGTGAAATCGCCTTAACGTACTAACACGTGGAATTAAAAGGAAAACAAAGAAAAAAAATGAGGAAGAAGCCAAAATTGAGGGGGTTAAAGAGGTTTCTGGAGGAAGTGGGGCAGTTATAATGGAGGAGGTTGAGGCGGGGAGGCGAAGGAAGCAGGGATGTACAAATGGAGGAAGGGGGAGGAACGAGCAAGCAAAAATGGAGTCCACTGTCGATTTGTATAGGCCAATAGAGGAGGAAAAGAAAAAATCCTTTTATGCCTATTACAATGAATCCGGAAGTGATGCCTGTAAAGTGTAAGACTGGGGATATTCTCGGGATTGGTTTAAAAAGATTTGACGATGGGCAGCTGGCTTCACGACTTCGGTGAGTTATTTTCGCTTAATTTTCCTTATTTTGCTTATGTTTTCCATGAGGTATTGTATACTTATCATGTTGTTTTTATTTGATGCAACACATCGATGAGGTATTGGCACTGATGAGGCTGCGACAAACCAGCAATGGTGATCTACTGTATCCCGATTATGCCATCACCGATGTGGCTTTGGCCAAACACTGGTATTGACATATCGCAATTTATTAAAAAGGCCATTGGTACATCTGTAGCAAAAGGAGCCAAGCGAAAACGATCGGGCACAGAAGACTGGATGTTCCCTAATGATTAAGTTTGATGACAGGATGATGCATTATGTAATAGGGGACAGACCCAAATATGGCCACAAGTTGGGCAAAGGTTAAAAGTGTCTATTGCACATCCTAGTCAAGGAAATGCACTGGATAGCAGTCGTCGCGCTCTTAGAGGAGGTTGCTGAAGATCCTTGACTACAACCCAACAATTTGTCGAGACAAACAGTTGGAGACCGAGTTTGAGGCACTGTCCGTGGTGTTCCCGCGACTGTACGTAAGAGCGGGATGTTTGAGCACCTCGGTGATGAAGCATTGACGGGAAAGTGGCCACTCAAGCGCGTTCCCGTCCAACAAATGAGTCAAGATAATTTTTCTATTAAACTAACTTACATAATAGAATTGTCTATAAGCTGATTCTAAGCTAATGTCATCTTCCTATTGCAGTGCTAATTATGGGGCATAATGCCCTGAAAATTATTCAGTTCGACATGACCAACAGCCCGATGGACGGATTGAATGACGAAACAATGAGCATCTTTCAGGAGCGTTTGGATGTTGAGTGCTTCATGGGGAAATGGATCCGTTTTGAGTGACCCACAACCCAATGAAAAGGTTTAGAACTTGTACTTTAATTTTGTAGTTATGTGATGTTGATGTTGATACTTGGGTTGTAGTGCTGATGCTGCAGGTGTCATGCTTATCACAACTTTACAGAAATAGACGGAACTCAGTGAAATTTCAATCTTGCACTCATAACTTGGGTTTGTGAAGAGAGAAATTTTACTCCCCAGATATCCCAACTTCCATTTAACAAATGGCCCTGAAAAAACTTTTGTGTTTTTGTGTTTTATTTAGAAAAGCTGACGTGGCTGCAGGTGTGCCGGATAATTTGCAGGTTGCTGGCAAACAATGAGAGGGAACTCCTCAAACTGGCTTGGGCTGTCAGAGTAGGCTCCTGGCAAGGATCTGCAATCAAGGCTGCTGGCAAGCATGGTACCATGAAATGACAGACAGTGATTATACCGAATTTGAAAACTCTCATAGTGGCGGCATCTGCAATCAAGGCTGCTGGCAAGGTATGGTGCAAAGAATGATCTCAGACAGTGATTATACCGAATTCCAAAACTTCTTATACTGGCGGCACTGCAATCAAGCTGCTGGCAAGGCATGGTACCAAAGAATGATCTCAGACAGTGATTACTAGAATTCCAAAACTTGTCAAAGTGGCTTAGGATTTATTCATTTTTGGCACTATTATGAATGATTTAAGTATAAACTTTCAATACATGAGTTCTTATATTTTGATCTGTGATGGATTGATTGATATAAATGACTTCATTTTGCTGTTTATTCTTTTCGTATTTGGGAGGAAAATTATTTAAATGACAGCTTATTACATAATACAGGAGAAATGTAGGATTCTTTTTTTTTTTTATGATCGCTTAAGCGATATATGAGCGACCACAGATATTTCTTAAGCGACCAAGATTTTTTCTCAAATGATCGCTTAAGTGATCTAAAAGCTTAAGCGGCCAAGAGTGGAAAGAGAAGAATTGCATGAGATACCAAAGGATCGCTTAAGCGATAAAAGGGATCGCTTAAGCGATCATATCGAAAGAGATCGCTTAATCGATCTTAAATCTCTTAAGCGACCAAGAAATAAAAGCGAGGAATCGC